AGCATCCTGAGATCGTGTCAGCTCCGACTGACTGCACGGATGTGCATTATTTATCCAACCAAAGAGGATGTTTCCTTTTACAACAGTGAGCTACATCTACAGCTTCAGCATGGGAAGATCATGCTCCTTTAAAATGAGGCATTTGATTTGTTTAAACATGTCTGGACAAGGATTGAAAGTGCACATCGGGGGGGGAAGCCTCCCAGAGAGGCCAAGGAGCTGAAAACACATGGGCAGCACTGCTCCTCCAGGCAGCACATCCAGCCACTGCCCCATATCAGCACCTGTTCAAACTGAGGAGCAGTGCCAGGATCTGCCCTGGTGGTTGTCACAGCTGGAAGCTGCTACCAGGCACACGCACACAGGTGCTGAGTTTATATTAGAAATCATATGCTGCAATTAGCAGATCCTCTGGGATCCCTTTAGAAAGAGTTTCAAAAATAAGCATCCACCAATAATGAGGTGTTTTCCAATAAAATATTCTCCTAACAGCATTGTTCTTGAGTAATGTGCTGTGAAGAAGCAGATACAGAGCGAATAGAGCAGTGAAGATGCAAGGCTCAGTGTATTGGTGCTATTGTATAGTCGAGGATCTTAATGCTTGTGGAGGAAAGAGAGCGAGAACTTGAAGCAACAGTGATAAAATATTAAAGCTTTGAGAGACAGTGTTGTAGGCAGCAGTTTTTGTAGTCACTGCTATCAGAAGATTGACAGCCAGTTCAGAAATAAAGGCCTGGTTGGCTGTGATGAAATGCTTGGTAACTGCCTGTCAGTTTTAGCTGAGGAAATTAGCAAATGACTCATGGGCTGCAAGCGGCAGGGAGCCTCATCCATCATCTTCAGAGCAGCCACCACTTCATGCACTTTGCTTAACTGAAGGACAATGTAAAATAAAATGCAAAAGGTCATAAATAAAATATTTCAGGAATGTAGAGGCTTAACTCAGACGCAACTAAAGGTGAGGTGTTTGGCTGCTGCTGTTGTTGTTGTTGTGTTCTTTTGTTTTGATTTTATGGTTGGTGCTCAGAGAGGATTTCCTGAAAGCCAGGTCCCTGCCATGAGCAGGAGTCAGGCAGGTGACCATCAAACAGGACAGACCTCCAGGGAGCTCAAGGTTTGTCTCTTCTTTTAGATCAGCAAGAATTTGGTACATGGCTAATTTAAATGGCTCTGTAGAAACAGTGGGAATTTTCTCGTATCTTTAGTGGAAGAAATGAAGCCTGAGCAACCCAACCAAGGCCTTCTTAATCGTGGGGTTGCATCAATGACCTGGTGCATTTCGGAAGGAAAGTGACCTATTGCTTTTGCTAAGATGCCAATCTCTGTGCTTACTCAGAATAATATGGGGGTTGTCCTGGAGTGGAGGAAGACAAGGGGGGAATAAATAAGACACTAAAATAAAGAATTTTATTGGAAGGAAAAAAATACATACAACTAGACTACAACAAGCAGTATTCCAGTGCCTCGTGATGATTCAAGGCCAGGATGGAGGGGGCCCTGGGCGGCCTGATGTAGTGGGCAAAAGCTCTACCCACGGCAAGGGTACCAGCACCATTCTGCTGTAACTCCGTTGACAAAACAGTGTAGGTGGACTGCTGATTCAAACCTTGAGTTTATTTATAAAAACAAATGAACGATGATATGTTTTCCCTGGCAAAGTGACTACTGCAAATTCAATCTCTGAAACTGGGCTCTGTGTACAGGAAATGTATCAGCCAGACAGAGCAAAGGCTCTTTTGAACCCTCACAACCTGTAAATCCAGAATGAGCCACTGAGTTGAGCCTTATTCACTTTCTTAAAAAATAACAGATTGGTATGAAATTGATGATATCATTTTCTACTGAAGAATTTTCCAAGGAATGGAAGCATGCAAGAAGTCAAGTAAATGTAATCTCAAGCAACATGTCAGAAAAATCAGGCCCTCCCACGTTGAATGGCAGAGTAGTCCAGCAATATTAAAAAGTGCAGTTGGAAAGAACAACTTTTCAATTAAATTCCCTCAAGGGAAAGAGCCAAAATGTGCTTTAAATTATCACCTTTCTTTATGAACCAGCAATAATTATTCTGTTTCACACAGACTGATACACCTGGAGATGGGATTAAAAAAAAAACCACCAAACCGCAATCAGAAAAGGTGCTGAAGATAACTCCTTTGATAGCAGACTACTTGGCTATTTTTTTTCTGCTGTAAAGGGTGGAGATGTTGTGTTGTCTTTTAAAGTAACTGCTAAATTACCAAGAGAATGGCTGTATGTCTATGCATTAGCTTTCTATGTGACCTAGGTCTATTTTTTTTTTTAAATATTCTCTTTTATGTGTTTCTTGTGTATATTCTTAAAGTCATACTTCTCAATATGAAGTTTATAGATCTCTGGTGGGGAAGGGAAATTGATTTTTTTAATAATTACATACGATTACAGGAAAAACTGTGTTTCCTGTTGTTTTTCACAGATAATGCCCTTCCTACTCTTTCCAGAGAACGCTGTTCTTACAGGCAAATCCCCCAAACCAGAGGTAAAGATGAAAGTGCATTAGTAGTGGACTAACAGGTCATGCTCAAATGTTGCATGAACCCTATTGATCCAGGATATCTTTAATGTGCTTTTTCAATTCTCCGCCCAGAACACAATCCAGAATTATTTGACAAAGCCTCATTGATCTATATATATTTTTTTTTTTTTTTTTTTTTTTTTTCTGTTCTCAGAGGCAGGGAAAAAATCTGCCATGGAGAGGATGGTAGGAGGTCAAAGTTGCTTTGTTGCAGAGAGCATTGGGTGCTCCTGCCTGGTTCTCAGCACATGGGAGGAAAGGAGAGGCCCAGAGAGATGGGGTTCAACCCCCAAGAGAGCAAGTGAGGATCTGCTTAATATGGAGAACAGTCTGAGACTGGTTAATGGTACAAGATTAGCTAAGACAATGTCAGGAGAAATAGTCCTCTCCCAGTAAGGTCAGACTCTCTTTTGGAGATTCCTAAGGTGCCACCCTGAGGTGAGCGAAGAGGGGAAAAGGCACAGGCTATAGGTAGGGCAAAAAAGGTGAGAGGGAGAGAGTAGCAGCATGGCCTTGTTCAGAAGGACTGGAAGCACCTTCAGTGGAGGTATTTCCAACAGCATAACACAAGGAATCTGGGCAGTATTGCACCCCAAGGCCAAAATGACTCTTGGATACCTGCAAGCACATTTTGCTTAGCCAAGATTGTTTCATTCCTGGCCAGATGCTTTCTTGGATATTTCAATGCCTTGCTCAAGCAGTAGGCAGGGTATAAGGGTGGGAATATAGGAACATGGGTAGGTGCAGCCTACGGCACAGCGGTGGGCACCTGTGTGGGCTGTGCTCCCCCTGTGACGGGCACTATTTCTTGTGAGCAGCAGGCTTGTTGCCTCATGGTTTTTCAGAAGCACAATACAAGTCTTTGATTGGTAAGTGTGGGCAGAGCAGCTGCCAACTTTAAAAAGGTGCTTGGAAATGGCTATAAGTAAGTGCAAAGTGGTGAACGAGGACAAAGTGCGCTCAGGAGACTTTGCAAGGAGTGAAGAACCTGCAACCCACAGAGGTGGGAAATGAACAGTTTCTGAGTGGTGGGGCATGGAGCAGCCCCTGCAGAGGTACAGGCTGCCTCAACCCCTCTGTGCTGCCCATGGTTCCTCCTGCTGCTCAGAGACCTGTCCTTAAAGGCAATGCTGGGTATCACCTCGTTCTGACTGAGACAAGTCACTCTGCAGCTGTGACGGAGCTGCTATGACTGCCAGAAATTCAGAGCAGGTATCCTAAGTCCACAAAATGCTAATTCCCGAAAGGTTAATTAAACTGAGCAGAATGGCTGGATGAAATGTAACAGATGACTGCTGCAATTTACTCTGGCATCACAGTTAGCATTAGGTTGTTCTCTGGTGCAGGAAAGTGCCTCAGATGACTTATTTTGGTATTTACTCTTTTGGGAGCTCCTGTATAAATCAGTTACCTTGTTCATGCTAGCCTTTGGGTGATGGAAGTCAGTGCAACCCAATTCAGTCATCTGGAGGAAAAATGCCATGCTGCTCTACAGCCCATCGGAACAGACACTCATGAACGCTGACTGTTAAAGTACAGGTCTGAAGTCTCACCTCATTCCAACCCTTCTGCTATAGGCAGAGATACATCCCTCTAGATCAGGTTGCTCAAAGCCCCATCCAGCCTGGCCTTGAAATCTGAATCTAATCTAAATGTGATATGTAAATAGTAGGTGTTACTTCATCACTCCTAAGTAAATCTGGAGGGAGAAGACTGAACTACAGTACTGTGGGCTTGAAAAGTGGGTTTTGCAGTCGGTGGCAGGACACGCAAAGGCAGGTCACGTATTGCTAGTTATTCCCAACGTGAATCTTCCAGGAAGCAGGGATGGAGAGCCCCACATCTTTCCTTCTTCCCCCACCCAGGGTCCCAGGAAAATTTGGGTCCCAGGGTGATATGAAAGAAGAACTGAATGATGCTGGCTGCAGGCTCTAGCTGGTGGAACCCTTGCTCCTGGTCCTGGCAAGAGGGACATTGTGTGCACATGCATGCTGCTTCCCAAGCTGATTCACCCAGCCTGTGGGACAGATGGAGCTGGCAAAGCTCATCTACCCACGCTCTGCTGTTGTCTGCACGGCAAGGAGATGGGGAACATAATTTCCCAGGTCCATGGCGTCTCCCACGGGCAACCCTAAGCTCCTTATGGGAACTGTTGCCTCCAGATGAATAGCTATTGTTGTTGTCCCCAGGAGGCACCTGCTGCGTATTAACATTCAAGAAACTCTTCCAATTACTGCCTTTTATAGAAACATGAGGAACAATTACATAACAGCTGCATGCAATTATTACATCAGGTGATATGACCTTTTCAAAACTGAGAAGGAATATAATGTTATAGGTAGAACAAGAAAAAAAGTGTTTTTTTTTTTTTTTTTTTTAATCTTTGAATGTGAAAAATAAAACCTTGGAGTTCAAAACAAAACCCAATTTTTTTGAAGGATTTCTTTTTAAAACACGGGTAATGGTTGTTCTTTCAATTACATTGCATGCTACAATATCTGGACATCTGGAAAAAATGTAATGAAAGCAAATCATACAATAAGTAATTCTATGCATCACAAAAAACATAAAGCCTACACTAAGAGGTAAAGCCCTCTTCTTTTCTCTAAGGCTGAGTTTAGCTTTCAGCCTGGAACAGCCACTGGTGTTTGTTGTACCTACCCACTGTTTGCTTGAAATAACTGGAAGAAACTTCCTCTCTCAAACATCAGCCTGTCAAATACAATTAAAATTGACCAATGGCACCAGAAATTATTTCTAGGCACCCAGATGGCACTTCTGCATTCAGACTGGATGCTTAGGCCAACGCACAGCATAGTTTTCCAAGTGAAGTTGTAAAAAAAGCTATACCAATGGGTAATTATGTAAATAAATAATATGTAATGCATGTATTGAAAGTAAGAGCTGTAGAGAATATATATGTTTTTTCTCTTCCTCCTTAGTCACTAAATAAACTTTTATGTAGTTTATGGCCTTTCTTCTTCATCAAGGATTTTTCCCTTTGCGGAAGATGATCTCCATAATTCTGATACGTCCTTTCTCCTTGTCTGCCCTTCTTCTCCATACAAGTGGTTCATCCTGAGTTGGCCCAGGTGTGCAGAGCAGGGATGATTGTCACCAGGTCAGGGAAATGAACGGCTGGAGCATGGGAGAAGGGTAAGAGCAGAGCTTTACTCAGTACCTGTGGAAGACTAGGCCTGGGCTCCTACTCTGAATTTGCCTTGGACTAAAGGGAAGCCTTTTCCAGGATTATCCAGCCTAACAGCCCGGAAAAGGCAGCATAGACTCTGAAGTCCTCATCTCCTGTTGCCTTTGATGTAACCTCCATGTATGCGGATGAAATGACTTTTAACAAGAGTAGTTCTCACTTTGCTAGTTAATGCAAAAATTATGAAAATATTCAAGACCCGTGCCTTGCTTCTGAACCTGGCCTATATCCTTCAGAGCAGTGCGGAGACAGACCAGGCCTCTCCAGGAACCCGTGAAGCTCTTTCCTTGGACTGCAAAAGACATCTGACCGCAGCACAAGACACCATGACAGCACTCTAGCCCACCTTGCTAATCTCCCTCCATTCAGCATAGCTAGACAGAGACATGAATATAAATGCAGGCTGTGCGGGAATGTGGTCTGAGAGAGCAGGTCCATGCTGTCAAGACTGTAAACTCTTTACATCCTGGTACATTCACTGGCTTGTTCTGCTCATCATAAAGGGCTGGAAGATCATGAGACCCCCAGTAAATAGCCTTCATGCTATGTTCTCAACAGCATATTTTCTTGCTTTAATCTGCTCTGTGATATCACATCCTTCAGATTACAAACAAATCTTGTTCTGAAATAAAACTGGAATTACACAAACTTATGTAGGGAAGAGCATGGACAGGGGCAGATATAGAATAGCATATAGACTTCATAAAATATTTGAAAATGGAACTATTCCGTGTATTTTTCCTAGAAGAAAAAAGTAACTTTAGGTTCCTAAGTGGCCTCATAAAGACCAAATGCACACCTCATCCAATTCATACGAATATATCTTCCAATGGATGTGATCTGAGGTAGCTTATTAGCTAAGTGAATTCAGCTCCTATTTTCTAAAAGCTCTAATAAGTTAATAAATAATGTATTCTTTATTTTTAGATCTGTTAACACTCTACATAGCTCAAATGGCATATGGATGCTCAGGACTACAAAACATTCAGAAGTCATTTTCCTCTGCTTTTTTATAATCCCTTTTCCTCCTGCTGAGAACATTTCCATCCTTGTGATTGCTTTTATTTGGTCCCATCCTCTTGCAAGAAAGCAGATACCACAAATAATATCTGAGGAGGCTGAAGGACCAGTGATGTGAAAATTGTTTCAGTACTAATTCTGCTTTCTAATTATAGGGAGATTTTTTCTTGAATACAAGGACAAGAAAACACAAGGTGAATGGTGCTGATGCTTCTGTCCTTTGCAACAGCATCTGCAGTGCATACCTGGGACTGTTGGGAGGAGGCTTCGTTTACAGGTATTTTACCTACAAGCCATTCCACCCTGAGGACAGAAATAGACATTTGTATCTGCTTATGTGTGTTTACATACACTTAAAGAAGAGAAAGAGAGATACACAGATATGCATTACAAAATGAGCTCTTTTTAAAAACCAATTGGGTCAAATTGACATCTGTCTATTCAGAAGAGAAGTTTGTTGTGGGCAAGGGGCACGATGCTTATTATCACTGTTCTGTCATATGTTCATCATGTCCCAGCCCCCAGTGGAGTCTTTCTGAACTCGTTCTTAGAGTCAGATGTCATCATTGGCTGGGCTTGTATTTCAGTACGTATAGGAAAGATGTCAGTGCTGTCATTTGTTACTTACTGGTTTATTGATACTATATCTGCTGATACGAGATCTTTCAGGCATCTGTTCCTGTTTGCTTGCTGAATGCTTCTTCTGATTCTCAGTTTTCCTTGCTAGGATAGAAGATACATGCTGATAGTATCTCCTTTGTATGCCATGGACCTGATGAATGGAGCAGTCTCTGCATTTTGATGTGGACAAGAAATAAATTCACCTGGGGAAAAAAAGGAACACAAATGAGAGCTCATAATGCAACACTGCTGACAAAATGCCAGCACTGTTCCCTAGCATGCGTGGGTGTGAATCATAAGTAGAATCAAAGGGTTGTCCTTTCACTTTCCATAGGTTTGTAGCAATCATTTTTGAAACCCGAAAATGATTTTAAATGGAACTTGTCTTACCATTTTCTGTCAAGAAACTTTGCAAAACCTATTTTGTCCATAACACACACACACAGAAGATTATAATTCAGTAAAGACAGAAAGGGAGGTTGTCTTGGTAGCTGTGTAGCATTTGAATGGGTATCTCTCTGACAATTGGATCCCTATTTCCTGTGACTTTTAAGTGATTTCCTATAGCTCTCCTTTAACTTTCTCTTCTGTTGAGCCTTTAAAGTTTAAAATAGAGATACTGATCTAGGATCTGAAGAAAACATTGTGGGCCACAAGATGTGCATCTTTTCCCACTAATCCAGTTGATTTCATAAAAAGACAGCACTTCTCTACTCACTTTCATGATTGTTTTGTCAGTACTCACTCATTTGTAGAAAATTAATGCTGAGACTTCTTAACAGCTATCAAATCTGTTCGAAACTGAGACACACAACCAAAAGTCATCCAGGGGGACAGACTCAACACAGCTACAGCAAGATACCACAAGTCTTTCTTTAGAAGCCAAATTACACAGCATTTAAATCTGAGAAAGAAGTTCTCAGAGCTTTCTGACCAAACAAATTTAGCATTAGAGAAAAAGAGTGGTTCCAGCTACAACACTTCAAAAGTGTTTATGTAATCAGCTGGCTCTCAGTGTACGTAATCTTGGCTCCCTCAAGTGGCTGGTCCCAGAGACTGGACAGCTTTCTTTGTGTTTCATATCTCTTAGAAGTGTTAAAGGTCTCTGTTTCAGGGATCACAGCTGCAAACTGTGCTAAGATGTAATGTGCTTTTGCATGCAACCATAGTCTGTCAGAAACTGGTACTCAGTGAATAAGATCCATGCAGCTCTGAGGTCTCATCAAGTGAGAGGAGTGAAAGAACTGGGACTGCCTTTATTTTTCACATCCTTTTTTCTTTTTCTTGCTGTTCTCTGGAGGATTTCCTTGCCATTCGTACTTTCCTCTAAATTCAGTGACAGTTCCTAATGGATTTGCTGTGGTAGTCTTCATTAGCTTTTCTAGCTGAGGTCTGCTCTAAAAACGGCTGGCTTGGAACCCATGGGACCCCTGCAGCTTCCTGGAGTTCAGCAAAGATGAATGCAAAATCCTGTACTTGGGACAGCCCTGGGACTGGGGCTGACTGCAGTGGAAAAGCAGCTGAATGTGGGACTTTGCTGCAGCCTTACAATATTTAGAGCAATGGGCACAGGCTGCAACTGGGACAATTTTTGACAATAGAAGAGGAAAAAAATCAGCATTGGAAAGTTCAAGTCCTGGAGTCTCCATTCCTGGAGATTCTCCAAACTTGGCTGGATGAGGCTCTGAGCAATCAGCGCTGGTTGGGGATTATTCCCACTGTGGGACTGGATGATCCCAAGCTCCTCTCCGACCTTCATTATTGAATGAATCACAGAATGAATCATAGAATGAATCATGGAATCATAGAGTGGTTTGGGTTGGATGGGACCTTTTAGATCACCTTGTTCCAACCCTCTGCCATAGGCAGGGGCACCTCCCTCTAGACCAGGTTGCTCAAAACCCCATCCAGCCTGGCCTTGAATGCTTCCAGGGAGGGAGCATTCACAACCTCCCTGGGCAATCTTTTCCACTATCTCACCACCTCATAGTAAAGAATTTCTTCTTGATATCTAGTCTAAATCTACCCTCTTCCAGTTTAAAGCCATTTCTCCTCTTCCTTTTGCTATCTGCCCTTCTAAAAAGTCCCTCCCCAGTTTTCCTGTAGGCCCCCTTCAGGTACTGCAAGGCCACTACAAGGTCTCCAATTCTCTGGGCCAAGAAACATTTAGAGGGTCTGGATTTATCTCTTGTCTACTGCAGGAGTGCTCCAAAAATTAATGCAGACCCTGACGCAGACCCTGAAACCCAGCCATCCTGCAGCTATCTCAGCCTTGCTCTTGCTGTCCCTTCTCCTCCCTGCCATGCAGTATGTCAAGCTTTACCGAGTGCTTCAGACAGATTCTGACCAAAATACACCGAATACTGAGGCCACAAATGTGTACCACAGGTGGCTCGTTTTTAAATTCAGCTTCTGTTAACCCTGTGGAGCTTGGTATGCACTGACCCCCTTAGCACTAATCCAGCTTTGCTGCGCTGCCCACATTGCACACAAGGCTCCTCCAGCACCTGGCAGCACCAACTCTGCAGGAGCTGCTACAGCCTCCCTTTGTTGCAAGAGATTGCAGCGCGAGAAGATGGCGACACACCGCCAACAGGTGGGTTCTTTGAGTTTCCAGTACCTGCGCCTCTTGCAAGGCAAATCTCTGAATTTATCTCCTTCAAAAGGAAAGCTTTTGCAAGTCACCTTTAATTTATTAGGTCTTTCTTCACAGAGAAGCCTCGTTCTACAGCCTATTGTCAGACACAATTTATCTTCTCTGCTTTAACACTTTTTCATGTCCTTACAGGCAGAAGATTTCCAGATTTCTTCAAGGACATCTAACGATTGGTATTTAATGCTCACCAGTGCAGTATGTGCTGCTTCAGTCTCATGAAGCAGGGATATAACTTCACCTGTTCAGACTGGAGATCAGCTGGATAGTAACAACAATGGGAATTTAAAACCAAGGGGGAAATTTTATTATAAATGTAGAACCTGAGACCTAAATTGCAATTTTCATTTAATAAAGTAAGACCTCCAGGGTATTTGCTGATTGGTTATACTTCAAAGCTGACTGACAAGTGTATGATTCCCCAGTACCTCTTGAAGTGAAGGCTTCCCACTTCATTTATGCATCAGAAAGCACAGCTGATGCTGCAACAGGTGCTGAAAAAACTTGTGAATTTTCTCTTCACTCTTCTTTTTATTTTACTTTTTTTTCTTCCTGGATGTGAGAACTGGGTGTGGAAATATGTGTTCTTCTTTAATTGATGTGGGTTTTTTCCTTCATCAGCTCAAATCTGTTCAAATGAGGAGAGAGCTTTTAAAGCAAATCTCCTCTTCATTTCACTTCTCACACACACTGGTTTGCAACACATCATGACTACCGAGTGCACAAACCAGATTTTCTTCCAATTAAACTAAACTGGGAGACGTGAGACATCCATACCGCATTGTTCCAGTCTCCACTGGCCACTGACAGGTCTGGACTGGAATCTTCTGAAGGAAAGTATCTTAATCCATGAATATCATGGAATGTGGATGCATAGATAGTCTGGCTTTGGACCTTGGAGCTCCAGTGCTCTACAAATCTATCCCTACTGGGCTGCATTACCAGATCATGCAGACACAGCTTTTTCTGCACAAATATTCTGCCTTTGTCTCCTTCTGCACAGGAACAGTTTGGATCTTACTCAAACAGTAAACATGAAAGATCATTCATAATTATTTATCTCTCAACTCTCAGGATACACATATGCTGACAGCCCAGTAAGCTCAGAAACGAAGTGAAGATATGAAGGTCATGCAGTTGGAAAAAAAACAGAAGTCAGAACTCATAAATGATATTTTCAGATATGAATTTAAGCTCTTTTAATGCTAATAAAATTGACATGAGCTTAGCCAGTCTGCTCCTAAATCTAGCCAACGCTTCAGTAACCTCTGCTGAGTTAAAAAACATACTTCTGCTCCTCCAGGTGTGAGGCAATTTCTGCAGATGAGCACTACTGTCTCTATGGAAAGACCACAGACAGACCTTAATGTTCCTAGCAGCTTTGACCTAAGTAAGAGTTTAACATACATTCCAGTGCGGAAACCACCATGGATATTCTCTGCAAACTCTTTCCTGGATGAGGCACCTTCCCTGAAAGGCAGCCTGAGAGTGCTGAACATTGTCATGCAGAACCTGCAATAAAGCTGAACTACAGTTATAACACAGCATAGTATTACTTTTGTATTTGTCACGAGATTAGACTCTTGTCAAGACATTTCTTGCCCCCATATTTTGTTCACTGTGGGTAGAACAAAGCAAAGACAAAAGTCGGCTCCCAGTGGTGGGCAAGGGACAGCACCAGTTGCCTCTCTCAAATAATTCTTACAAGTCTTTGTGTGATAATATGCCTCTGTATGTGTCTGTTTTGAATGCCATCTCAGTCATTTATTGCTTTTCTTCTTTTTTATTACAGGCTCCCTATTCCAACATGAAAAGGTTCCTCCTTCCCATTGCTGAGGCAGATGGACTGCTGGTTATTAAATATTCTTCCTAATGCAGCTGGGCAGCCCATGTGTGCTCTATATTGGTGGGCCAACAGGAATTTTTATTGCCTAATAAGCAGTCAATAAAGTGATGCTAAAAAAAGTTACTCCAGAAATTATTCCAATACATAAAACCAACATGAATGTCAATGATGCCATCGAGTCCAAACAAAGCAAGTGAGCAGCAGTGGCTTTGGACAGTGGATGCAGAGCATACATTGAGCAAGTCCTAACACGTATGAGAGAAATGCCTCCATTTTTCACCACAGAGACTCAGTCAAGGCTAATTTCTGAAACCATTTATCCGCCTTTAGCTTGAATGGGCTCCTCAATTCACATGTGTAGCACCTAGGGCAGTTGCTGACAGCAGAAAAGGAGAGCTGCGATCATGAAAATGTGCACATCATAGGGAAGGATAGAGAAGGGCTGGCAGCACTGGAGGTCTGGTCAGACCTCCTTCAGGTGAAAGTTGCACCCTCCAGCAAATTTGGGTCCCCACTCTCTCCTATCCTTTTCAAGAGACAGGGCAAAGGAAAAAGAGTGAGCTCAGAAGTCAGAGTTGGTTGGCCCTCATAGGAACGGGATGGAGAGAAGATGCCCCGAGGCCAGCCCATAATGCAGAACAACTAAGAAATACCCTGTGGTCTGAGTTATTCCCACCTCATTTTAATGTAACAAGAACATTTTA